TGGCTAGAGAGACAGACAGACAGACAGACAGACAGAGACAGGTAAGTAGGTAGGCAGATAGGTAGGTAGATAGGCAGGCAGACCTTTTGGATGAATGTATGGATAGATAGGTAGGTAAGTAGATTGGTAGATAAGTAGGTCGGTAGGTCGGTAGATCTATATTGGTAGGTAGGTAGGTAGACAGAAAGGCAGACAGGCAGGCAGACAGGCAGACCTTTTGGATGTATGTATGTATAGTATGGTATGGATGGACGGACGGACGGACAGACAGAAAGAAAGAATGCGTCAGCAGTGGCACTTTCAGAAAGTTAGTAGAGCAAAGCCAGAGTGGGAGTTGAAGTCCACACAAGTTGCCAAGGTTGAGAAACATGAGCTGAATATATCAACCCAGCTATTCTGGTTTAGAGTTTGGCATTCCGGCTTAGTCAGGGAATAAACCATGTCTAAGATCTTCCTGCTCCTTAATGCAGCTGCCCCTCTGCCCCTTCTCCAGCCCCCTTTGGCATCCAATTTTGCAATGCCGACCTCCCTGGGGCAGCGATGCAGCCGACCTCACTCTCTTTGCTTCAACCCAAGGCCCACTTCCATCGGGCCAAGCAAGGGGAGGTACTCTGCACATGCTCAGAGACTCCCAACTTCAGTGAAACGTTCTGTCCATCTTTATGCTCTGCCCGGGAGGAGGAAGGCGTGCGGAAGCAGCCCAGATGAGGGGAGGCGGAGGGAACGATCACTTGGAAACTAAGCAAGCAAGCAAGCAAGCGCAGGGCTCTGTCCGAAGAACCGGGCTGCAGAGGGAGGCTAGGTTCTAGATCCAGGATGGTGACGTAGAGCCGAACTGAACTGAGCGACGCGCTTTGGAGAGCTGCAGCTGCACCCACCTGCTTCCTGCGTGCAAGCCTGGCTGGCTGGAGAGGTGGGTGCTGTGCGCTCCCTTGTTCTCCTCCAGGCAAGGGGGCCCTAACGCCGGACCACCCACCCCTTCCACTGCGCACCTTGGGAGGGTTTTGCTTTCAGGCCTTCTGGCATGCCTCCTCCACTTCCACCGGAGAGGGCAGCCTGCAAGCTAAGGTGCCCTCTTTCCACCACCTCTCCCCACCAGGCTTGGCAAGGCTCACCGCGCGTGGGTTCTGCATTCGAGGCACCGGTTACGGAGCGATGAAACAGTCAATGGGCTGCGTGGCCGGCAGTCAGTGAGCCTGCGGGACCGGCACCTCGAATGCCCCCCCTTAGAGCCCCCCTGCTGGCCCCCTTGCCTCTTACCACCCCCCTGAGGCATCCCACTGCCCCCCAGGGGACAGTACCGCCCACTTAGGGAACCACTGATTTAACCAGTAGCTCCGAGACAGGCATATTCTCAAAGTGCTTTATTAAAACAAAAAACTTGTCTGTGAGATTTCAGAAACTAAAGTTTCCTCCCAGACCTCCCACAATACTCAATCAACACCCACCCATTTTGTCCCACATCATCAATCACGTGAACCGATCACCCTTCAACTACAATTCTTGCTGCGCCATAAAGAATGACCTTGACTGTCTTACGTATTTATGTCGACTACAAATTACTCAAATACCAACAACCCCCCTTTCCATCCTCCGTATCAATGTGGCAGCTTTTAATAGGGATTCCAAAACTGACAAAGGATACTGTAAAATCCCCATTCCCTCCCCACTCCTGGGGGAGGGATATTGCAAAATCCCATTCCCTCTCCACCCACTAACCTGCTTTCCAGCTCCGTTCTCTTGTGCGGGGCAACAAAAGAAGATCCAGCCGATCAGCTGGGACTCGGGAGGCAGAAAACAGATGGGGGCGGGGCCAGTCAGAAGAGGTATCTACTGGTTCTCTGAACTACTCAACATTTCTGCTACTGATTCTCCAGAACTGGTCAGAACCTGCTGAATACCACCTCTGCTTGTTTCCAGAGGGAAAGCTGGGGTGGAGGAAAATCTGTTTAGGCAGCACCCATGCTGAAGAAGAGTTTATGTCTGCAACAGAAAGGAAGTGGAAGCTTGGGATTGCTGCTTGCAAAATTGTTTGCCGTATCAGAGCATTAAGAATAATTGGCTTTCTATCCCTCCTGTGTAGAAGTAAGGGATAGCCTATAATAAAGAGCTTGAATGCTGTGAGCGACAGATATGGCATACTTGTTTATAAAGGTATGACTATTGGGTATTTGGCTAGAAGGGTCTTGTGGAAGCCCATACCTTGGAGTCTTAGGATAAGTCATAATCACTACAAGGAAAGAATGATATGTTAATTTAAGGTTGCTCTGCAGAACACTGTAAAGCAAGCATGACCAACACGTGGACTGCAGGCCACATGCGGTCTGGACAGCCAATAATGTGGCCCCACAAGATCATAAACTTTTGTTATGTGATTTCTATACGTTAACGATATTATATATTTTATATGTGGCCTAAGACAATTCCTCTTCACTCAGTGAGATCAGGCAAGCCAGAATAGAATAGAATAGAATAAGAATAAGAATTGGAGTGGAAAGTAGGATAGGATAGTAGGATAGGAGAATAGAATAGAATAGAATAGAATAGAATAGAATAGAATAGAATAG